GGGGGGGAGGTGCAAAGACTTGACAACACAGATTATTCAGAGGCAAAGAGAATGCCCAAGAAACAGCCAAAGTTGCACAGGTGTCAGGTGTCCGGCTCCCCAAGAAAAAGTAAGTGGGAAGAGTTCCCTCACTTTACATCTCTTAGCCCTAGAGACTCTTTAAAGTATGTGTGCCTGTTTTTATTTTAGAAAATTTACAAGACACACAGTAACCACCCTACAACAGAGCAGGGGCCCTGGGAAGGACCTCCAACAGAGAAGTGTCACTGTAATGCAGAGACTCTGAAACAAAAGCCCCAAGACTTGCCCACCTGTCTGGCCAGACCTTGGGAGCCCTGGGCATGTGCTGCATCCTCACAAGCCCATTTACCAAGCCACAGAGCCGAAGGGAAGGATGCCCCTTCCCCCAGCAGCTCTGGTTAGTGAGAAACTATGGTGACTGTCTTTCTAGGTCAAGGAAAAGGGAATACAAATAGAGGGTTAGGTGCATCAAGCACCAGGCTTGCTAGTTGAATCATAAGTAATTAGTCAACCCTAACCTAGTGACTTCCCTCGACTTAGTGGCCTCAGGTAATCCATCTCCAGTGTCACCTCACTTGCTGTGGAGGCAACACCGTGACAAGGGCCAACAGCGACAGGCCCTCATCCCATCGCAGCCTGCAGAACAAACACTGAGAAGCAGGACTTGACTGCCCACCACAGCAAACAGCCCCAAACGGAGGTTCCAGCCCAAACAACTCAGGGCCAACGTGCTGCGACAGTGGTGGCCTATCACTGTCCTGGAGCTCCTTGGACAAGGCCCTCCTCCAGGGTTGACTGCAGCAGCATGTGCGGAGCCCAGGTGGTGTAGGGGGTTGCACACTGGGCTGCTAATGGCAAGTGTGGTGGTTCAAAACCATCAGCAACTCCTTGGGAGAAAGAGTAGGTATTTGATTCCCTGAAATGTGACAGCCTTAGACATCCACAGGACCAGTTCAACTGTTTCCCACAGGGTCATGCTGAGGGGGAAACGACTCCATAGCAGTTTGTGTTTTGGGGTTTTTTGGAGTAGTATGTGCAGGACCTGGGAAAAGGGGGGCAGTCCTTCCTTCATCTTTTCTCCCTCAGCAGCCACAGCGTGCAGGAAGCTCATGTTAAGTCTTCTGGGTCACAGGGGAGCCTTGGGACCTGAGGACCTGAAGCGCCTACCTCAGCTGCTGGCTGTCAGACTTCCAGGAGTGAAGCCCCCAGCACCTGGGCCAGGTGGGCACATGGGTAAATACTGCTTGTCCCGGAGGCCCCACCCAATTCTCCATCAGGGCCACCTGGGGAATCTTACATCTGGGGCCATCCCCTCATGGATAATTTAGGAGGCACCTACTATGTACCAGGCTGCCTACCTCTCCGGAGCCCTGATTTCAATGTGCAAAAGGAGGAACGTTATCTGTGTCCAGGTGGGGCCAGCAGCACCCCCCAGCCCACCAACTGTCAGTGACTGGACACAGTAGGTGTTCAACTAATGGCATCAGTCATCGCACATGGCCCCTGACAGCTGGTAGCTTTACCTAATGGACCCTTTTGTCCCCCCCTGCCCGGTGCATGCCTCAATATTGTGTACCAAGTAATGCTTGTTGCACTGAATTTATTAACTCCCTTACACCGGCCCGCTTACTTCCATCAATACCGCCAGAAGCTGCAAAATAAAAAAAAAAAATGACAGTATTCATTATATAAAAAGCGTTAAGCTGTAGCGGCTACTCCAGGGTGGCACCATCACTTTCTGACCTGTCCCGAGAGTCACCTCAAGGTGCCTGGAAAGGCTGCTGGCGCCCAACTTGCCCGCGTGGGGTCCGGTGGGCACTGCGCCCGAGTCCCGGTCCCGAGGCCTCCGTGGAGCGGGCGGCCCGGGGAGCAGCCACCGCGAGGCCACCACAAAGGAGGTGAACTTTCCGCGTCCGCGCGCGCCCCGCCGGGGCTGCGCTGACAGCCGGCTGGCCGCGGGCGGGCAGCATTGTCTGTGGCCGCAGCGCCAGCGCCGGCCAACTTCGCCCCGCCGGCCGGCCCGCCGCACCGGAACAAAGTGAAAGGTCA